ACACCCAGCAATTTACAACCTTCCTCTGAGCTGTCATGAGCACAAGACTGTCAGCTGACTAGCTTCAGGTTTTCCTTTCTCTACACCATTCAGCTTGGATTTGGGAGTGTCAGAGTAGCATGTTTTCACATGGCTTCTATGCAGAACACAAAGAAACCACTTCCCACATCCGCAGCCTGCATGATGCCTTCAGCAGCCTTTCACTGAAGCTGCAGGATGGTCTGGGCTGCTGTCCTACACTCCCTAAATCTGTGCCAAGTTCCGCCTTTCATAATCCTGGCAACTATAAATAAAGACTGATAGTAAATCACGGTCAGTTGATCTCTGAGAAGCACTTTGCTAAGGGAAAATAACACCCTGGCTTCTGCCAGAGACATCTAAGGATTTCCTCTTCAGGCACAGCACGGTTATCTAAATGGCCCATGTCAGTCAGTCAGTCAGCAGTGCGTTCAGTAGGTCCCTGAGCCACACTTGCTCTTCCCACCAGGGTGCCTGCACCCCGCCCATCCTGGGCTCGTAAAGCAGTACTGAGAATTTTTTCTGAATGTGGACATCAAGATATGAAACCGTAATGCACGATTGGCTCTGAAGTGCTTTGTTTCAGTTCTCCCCAGTCTATGAAGGACGACTTCAGAGACAGGGTTTACGGCCAGCTCTCTCCTGCTGTGACAGATAGTGATTCATGGACATGCTTGGCAAATACTCCTGAATTTCTTGTGTCAAAAGCCCTATGGCCCCCATCTGGTTTCTTGGGAAAGCCTGAAAAAAATCAAAAGTTGTCAAGAGCTTTACAACAGTCTTTCTTCTTGAAGAAAGAAGATTGGGAGCAATTACTTAAAAACTATGTAATGTACTCTGCACTATTATTTCAAAGTTATCAGACTTGAGGTGAATTTTAGCAAGGAATTTTTGTGTTTCTTTTTGAGACAAGGTCTTGCCGCTATGCAGTTCAGCCTGGCCTTGAGCTCACTTTGTAGCCCAGACTGTTCTTGAACTCCCAATAATCCTCCTACCTCAGTCTCCTGAGTGCTGAAATTATAGGCATGTACAACAATGCCTGGCTAACAAGCAACTTTTAATTGAAAAACCACTTAAGATGCCTCCCCAAAAGCACATGTCTTTACTGACTCTGGAGCTCTGTGAGTATGTGTTGTCACAGAAGAGAAGAAGAATGGAAGTGAAGATACTATGTATAGCTTCCATCAAGAGCCAGTGAGATCATAAAAGTCCTCTGGCACGGAACTGCATCTGTCCGACACAAGGGCCCTGTTAGTGTTTGTGGGCTCTTTTTCTTCATCTGCTGGATGACAAGACAGTGAGGAGGGGAAAAAATCTGCTCAACTAATACGACCACCTGAAGCTATTAATTTATTATACCCAAGAGCAAAAAGCAAGCTGGAAGTCTCCCTGACTGCCGCGTGACTTGGACAAACAGATATCTCATGAGTACTTTGGAGCCCAAACCTCACGGTGCAAGCTCCTGTCAATAATTCACCTCTACCCTTGAGGCTGGCCCACATCCTAAAAATTTCTGGAAACCAAGCACAATACTGAAAATTTTTTTAAGTATTTTTTTTTCAAGATTGTAGAGAGGAAGAGAAAATGGATGAGGTCTATGAAAGCAGTTGCCACTGATGAATTCCAATTAATTCCAAAGTAACTGGAAATGTACATTAGTTAGGCAGAGTGGTGCACGCCTGATATCTCAGCACTCAGGAGGCCGAGGCAGAAAGATTACAAATTCAGGCCCACAAGGAGCAAGTTAATGACCTAGCAAGACCCTGTCTCAAAATAAAAATCTTACTGGGGATGTAGATCAGTGTGTAATCCCTGACATCAACAAACAAACAAAAACGCACAAAAACTCTTTTGTACAAATTCTTAAAAACAGGGGAAAAAATTTAAAAGCAATTCCATACTTGTAAAGAAATAGGGTAATGGATATAAAAATGTTCTATTAAAAGTACTGCAAGAAAAATGATTAAAATCCTACCAAAAAAAATAGCAAGCTCAAAAAAAATTTTGTTTAAATAGCAGGCTCTCTTTAATAAATGATGCTGGAAAAGCTTACTGTATACATGCCGAAGATTAAAACTGGACCCATATCTTTCATCACACATTAAGCTAAAATTGGAATGAATCAAATATTTTAATATTAAAACAGAAACATTAAACCTGCTGGAAGATAGAGGAGGTAAAACTCTTGAAGACACTGGTGTAGGCAAAGACTTTATCAACAAACCTCCACTGCACTTATCAGAAAGAATCAACAACTAGGATCTCACCCTACTGAAAAGCTTTGGCACAGCAAAGAGAAACCACCAACAGAGTGAAGAGACAACCCATAATGTGGGAAAAAATGTTTGCCAGCTATTCCTCAAACAAAGGATTACTATCAAGAACATATAAAGAACTCCAAAAAAAAAAAAAAATCAGTCCTCCCAAAAATGGGCATCTGAGATAAATACACACTTCTCAGATGAAGAAATATGAACAACAAATAAATATGTGAAAAAATGTTCAACATCACTGGTCACTCGAGACATACAAATTAAAACAGCACTATGATTCTACCTCACCCCAAAAAGAATGGCTGCTATCAAGAAATCAAGTAATAACAAATGCTGGAAGGGCTGTGGGGAAAAAGGAACCTTTCTCCACTGTTGATGGCAATGCAGACTAGTACAATCACTGTGGAAATCATCGTGGAGATTACAAAAAACTAGGACCTGAGGTTCCATTTAACACAGCTATTTCCCTTCTGGGTATCTTCCCAGTGATATATGTGCACTCATGTTCATAGCAGCACAATTTGTAATAGCCAGATCTTAGAAACAACCTAAATGCCCATTGACTGAGGAATGGGTTAAAAAAGTAAAACTTTTATACAATGGAGTACTACTCAGCCAGAAAATAAACTGGAGGTTTTATAGGTAAATGGATGCAACTTGAGACCATACTCATAAGTGAAACAAATCACACACACGTGTAAATATGTTGTCTCTCTAGTGTGAGAAGCTGAAACACTATGTATATGTGTGTGTGTATATATATATATGTATAAATTTTGTATATGCCTATATATACATATATAGGCATACATATATAGGCATGTATATATGCCTATATATACATATATAGGCATACATATATAGGCATGTATATATGCCTATATATACATATATAGGCATACATCCTATATATACATATATAGGCATACATATATAGGCATGTATATATGCCTATATATACATATATAGGCCATATTTTTATATGCCTATATATGTATATATGCCTATATATACATATATAGGCATATAAAGAATAGTTAAGATAGTTACACTATTGATTTTTCTGAGGTCACTGAAGAAAAGGACTGGTGCTGATATTGTTTAGACAATTGAATGCAGATGTCTTGTGCCGTGGGTGAATGATTTAGGGATGACAACACACAATATCATTGCCCCTCCAATGATGTGTTTTGAAATTGTTTTATTTTGGTTTTTTCTTTTTTGAAATAAAATAGAGTTAAAAAAGAATAGCAGGCTAACTGAAAGGGAGATGTACCACTTCATACTAAAAATTTTATAAATTAAAGAACTGGGGGAGCTGGGGATTTAGCTCAGTGGCATAAGCGCCTGCCTAGTGAGTGCAAGGTTGTGAATTCAATCCCCAGTACCGCAAAAAAAAAAGAACTGGAGTGTCCGTGCATAATATTTTACATGAATATTCTCCCTAAACAACTATTCAGGAATCTGAAATTCTATAGAATACCCAGAAAAGGGAATACAAATGTCTTAATACTGCATTGAGCATCTCCGGAGAACAGGTAACTTTTAAAAATAACCTCAACCTGTTTGCAGCCTAAGAGCTGAGGGTGAGAGTGAGATTCCTGCCTGGCCACACGGCCAGCATCAGAAAACAGACAAACGAGCATGCCTCCATCACGCTCGCCCACATTCAGCCGCCACTTCTTGGTAAAACAGAAAAGACACCACAAAAGTGCAATCTTTATCTGAACACCCCAGTGTACTTTCTCTTTATCACAGCACCCATTACCTCTTCCCGTGCACAGGACAGCACGTGACCCAGCTTGCAAGGTGATGGCCCACTTCTCCCCAACACCTAGCTACTGTTCCCAACTACTCACCATTTGACTACATTTCTACCAGAATAGAGTATCACCGGACAGAAACTATCTGTTAACCAAGCCAATCAGCACATCTATGGGATTAAACCATTTGCAAAACATGTTACCTTTGAAAAACTTGCTGAAAGGAAAAAAAACAAGTCAATTTAGAAACTTTTTCACTAATCATGAAAATCAGAGCTTAACTTTTGGTTCTCTTTTTCTATAGACAAAGACTTTGGAATAAAATGTAATTTTCAAGGACTTTTATCCTTTTGTTATGCAGTAAAGTTCTTTACAAATAATATCTCAAGTTGTACTATTAGTGACATTAAAAATTTATCCACAGTGGATGAAATAACCGAAAAAATACCACAACTATAATGCTATCGTTTCCAGAGATGCTTATTACTTATTCATATTACTTGTTCACAACCATCCTTCTCAGGAAAAGTATTTTCTGGAGCAAGGGAACCCTGCCCCACCTATCACCCAGCCTGCAAAGGGAGAGCCCAAGCTCCTACTGAGAAGGAATTTCAAGACTGCAACGTTTCCCCTGATAAATCCAAACAGTATTGTTAAAGCTTCCACAAAGGACAAGGGTGTAACCATTTCTTGAAAACTGCTTCTAGCAGAGGTAATGAAAAAAAGCAAATGAATAGAAGAATCGCTAGAGTCACCAGCAAACACCCAGGAGGATCACTCTTCCTCTGAGCGAAGGTACCTGCCCCTGCACACCACTAGATAGACCCCCTAAAGCATCTGAGACATTCTTGAAAATCAACCTCTGAATCCACACAACACCATCTCCTTAGTACCAATAAATGACAACATTTTTCTGAGACTTTAAAATAGAACTAAAATTTCAAACCTGTTGTCCAGTCCGGTGTGACTGGTGTCCCTGCCTACCCAGGCACATCTTTGAATCTTTGTGCACAAAAGCGTCTTGTAAATCCTCCCAGCAGCAGAGACAGCGTCCCTCACATATCTGGCCGAATCCTGCCAGCCCCCAGGCTGGTTTGAGGTTTTCGCTGTGCCGCCACACATGTCCTGGGCGATTAATGTTCTTCCGGTTTATCTTTACCATCAACTTGGACTGGGCACAAATTTTGAAGTTCCTTTGTTATTTGAGGGTTATTCTGCAGTGACCAGCAGCTCCAAGAGATCATTCCATTTCCTATGCAGTATATGAAACAAGCTACTTGGCAAAAGCCTCGTAATTTCCTCTTTTAGAAGGTTTAAAAAAAGGAACATTCATTTGTTACATAAATGAAGCTCTGGAGGAGTCAGACGCACCCAGTCGCCTTATAAAACATGCTGTGGGCAAGCCCATGACAAATACAGACAAGCACAAATCCTGCTTCCCACTCCTGTTCCTGAGCCTGGACTCCAGTTCAGAAAAGACGAGATACTCAGCAGGCGGAGCAGCTTGTGACTCACCCCACCTGCGTCCCCAGCTGGCACCCAGAGCGGCCATTAGCTGGTCACGAGACCCACTCCCGTGGCCTAGGCAAACGTGCTGCTCTGACACTGGCCACGCCACCTTCCCAGTGGCCCTCATGTGAGCCAGTGTCAGCTGACATGTCTTCCCCAGCACCCTCGCAGAGCCCCACCCACAGGGAGTAAGGGAGGCACCACACCTGCTGAAACGCAGGGCTGGGTGCAGAAGGTGACAGGAGGGCAGAGGCAGGCAGGGAAGGTACACCTCACTTTACTATGGGAAAAACCAGTCAGGCAGAATACCAAAGACACCAAGAAGCTGAACATGAACCCTCAAAACTCTTGCTGAATTCCTGGGCATTTTCAAGCTAAGAAACCACTCAACTATCAGAACCTTGAGACAAAAGCAGTTTAATTTTGACTTGTGACATTAACATACTTCATCAGAAAAATAATACTGTAGAATCAAAGATTCTACAGATTCATGAAAAAAACATTTTTCTTTCAATTCCCTGGAATTCAAGTTATATTTAAATTTAGATACCAAAAAAAAAAAAAAAAAAAAAAACCACTATACAGGATCACCCAGTTTCTTTTTGAGACAAGGGCTCACTATGCAGTTCAGGTTGGCCTTGGATTCACTTTATAGCCCAGGCTGGTCTCGAACTCACAGACATTCTCTTGCCTCAGCCTCTCAATTTCTTTTCCTCATCCTGGAATTTGGCTGAAGAAAGTATTCCTGGACCCCTAATCTGGTGAAGGCTGTCTGGCTCATTGGTTGCAGGAAATTTTCAGTGTATTGGTCATCTGTGGAAGCCAAGTATTTCACTCACTGGTGCTGTCGGAGCAGCATTGGCCTCTCGGCCCCCTGGCCGCCTCGAGTTTATTACACACCACACGGACCCCAACAGCAGCCTCCTACAAGCATAAGGAACTCAAAAACCAACCTTAAGTAAGCTCTTCCCTGACACAGAGACCACAACGCCCCTGTGACAGCAGCTTAGCCCCTCCAAGACACATGGTAACTTGCTAAGGTCAAACTAAAGCCAGGTGGGAGAGAAGGAGCCCAGTATCCAAGAAAGGCACACAATGGCACTCTGCCTCTGAGGCAGGGCCACAGTCTGGTCCCCGTTCCTCTTTCCTCTCAGCAGCCTTTCAGGTAACTTTTGTCTTCTCCACAGAGCATCATGTTACTTGCACAGGCACTAGAACACCATGGCCAGTTTAAGGCCCGGGGCTCACCCAGTGAGGACTGAGGGCCGAGCCTCGGTCAGGACTACCAGAGCTGCCGGCCAAGTGCCCTGCGGGCCCATGCCACCATTTGCACTTCTGTTGGGTCTACATGCATGGGAATACAACCTACCAGAACTTGTGGAACACTACGAAAGCAGTCTTAAGGGGGAAATTTACAGCAGTAAACGCCCGTATCAGGAACATAGAGCAAGAGGAGCAGGCTAAACTAAATGCACAGGAAGGTGAGGGACAGGTTCCATGTCGATGGGGTACAAGGGTTCATAAATCCCTGCTAACCCTGACTTCCATAAAATGTGTCATGTAAATGTGAGGAGAAGAACACACTCCATTTATATATAAAATACAAATTTTAGTTTGGAAACTTCAGTCTCTAACATATTTATCTTATAAAGATCACGAAACTCTTAAACATCTAATTCCATATATACAATCAGTCAGGAGTTAACCACAAAGCTGATCTGTTCTTCACATTTTCCAGAAGCTTCAAATAATGTCATAAATGTGTATAATGTAACCCCTCTCCAGGTGGCATTAACCTATACACAAGAATAAGAGATAAAAATGACCATGTGCCTATGAAGGACACAGGGTGGGAAAGGCTCTGACAGCACTCAGAATTCTCTCACACGGGCACCAAACCAGCCCACAGCAGCCACTCTGCCCTCTGCCCAGGCCATGCCCCCAGTGTCTCTAACTTGGTGGGCTCACTTGCCTCTCAGATTTCAGCAAGATTTCGGGGCCTGCCCCAGGGGGTTCTGGGCCCAGTCTGGAGCAGAACTAGAGAACTCGCCTTCTAGCAGGTTCCAGGACATGCGCCACCTGAGATCTGCACCCTATGAGAACCATCCTATCTCCCCAAGAAGACCTTCCTCACCACTTAGTCCTTTGTTTCTTAAATACTTTTATAATGTTTTAATCATAATTTTAACAATACATCACAATTTTATGACAGTATATGTATTTTATAATCCCAACTAGATCATAAATTCTTTGAGTATAAATACTGGGTTGCTGGCTTTCATACTTTTACATGATGCAGACTTTACACGTGGTTGCCCAACAAATACCTTCTGATTGGTTTAATAATGCTGCACATTTGCCTTAAAATCTTGATAGGATGCTCTCTGCAGCAAGCAGTGTGCTACCAGCACTGCTAGTGTGCATGCTCCAAGCGAGTAGGAAGGCACTTGCACATCAACCCCCCTCCCTCAGAAGCTTCACCGTCTCCTGGCCACTCCAGGCTGTGTGACTCAAAGAGGATCTTAACACCGAAAAGGTCACTTGAAAAGTCTAAATGCCATTTCCTGTTATCCTGTCAGTAACTTAATTCCACAGCTGAAAATCTGGTTAAGAGATACATATCAAAACCACAACTACCATACTTAAAATGAATGTCTGTATATGATACAGAATTCCCCTGTATTTAAATAAGCTCTACACTTTCTTCAGTAAATGAAAAATAATAACTAATAACTGTGTCCTCATAACCATTCTTCCTGAGACACTGGAACAACTCTCAGGGTAGAGCCAGGAAAAGGCATGTCCACATTTTCAGGCCAGAATGCCTGTCTGTCTCTTTCCCAGTGGATCCCACACCTACACATGCACTTACACCGTCCTGCATCACCGAGAATACTAACTAACATGTACAACTCATCATTCGCCCTTTATATGGCTCTTCCCTCCCAGTTCACGCACGCATGATGGAAAATAACCTGTGTTATCCACAGCTGACACATTTAGAAAAGGGTCTGCCATCATTAACCAGACACTCAGTGTTGACTGGAACCTCTGATGCCACCACTGACACTTACACTGGAAAGGAAGTGCAGAAGGGTAGCGAACCTGTATGCAAGAAGGGAACCATGTTCAATGTTTGCCTGTCATTTTTTTTGTGCTGGGGACTAAGCACACTAAGCAAATGCTCTACACAGAACCACACTGCCCCCACTCAACCGCTTCTGTTCTCCTATCCCAGGTACCCAAGTGACCCTACCAAGAAGTGCCAAGTTTGTAAGTCAGCAAATGGCATAAGGATCACTCAGATCATAGACACCAAGTATGTAGTACTCAAGCCAGGCCAAGCTAGGTGCAGTGGTACACATCTGTAACACCTGCATTCTGGGAGGCTGAGGCAGGAGGACTGCAATTTCCAGTGCAGCCTGGGCAACTCAGTGACTTAGTAAGACCTGCTCTCAAAATAAAAACTGGACTGAGCATGTAGCTCAGTGCAAAGGCCTTGAGTTCAATCCCTGGTACTGGGGGGCAAAAAAAAAAAGGCCAATCTTATACCTGTGGTTAGAATCTTTGATCAACATGAACACTGCTTCCTGTCCTGCTCAGATCTCTGAATCCACTGATGCGCCACTCTAAGGGCCACTTCCAGTCTAAGATCTTAGACTCGACATCTGAAAAAAGGCCCATTCCCATGCCTGATAATTCAGAGCTGTCAGATTTAAAGTCAGGGAAGTTCCAGGATTTACACTCCTTTGACCTAATTCTCTTCCAGGTGATAAAACCGCAATTGAGAAATGGGCTTGAAGACCCAAAACAATTAGTGTCTAAAGCAGCTCTCCAAAAGTCTAGCCTAATTACTCTCACTAATGACTTTGTTTGCACAGTATCCTCCTCTGCCAACTTGCCTTACCTAAACAAAGAACAAATGCAAGGAGGCGGGGAAGGGTGAGGTTTGCAAGCCAAGAGCACCCCAGTCAACCCACCTTAATTGCTAAGCACCAGCCCACCTCTGCAATACCAGCAAAAGCAGCACAGGTGCAGGGGTGTAGTACGGTAGTGGAGTGCTAGCCTCACACACACAGCAGCCTACACACACACACAAACCCTAAAATCTTGCCTTTCTTCTATTTCAACTCACCTGACCAGCTCAACACTCAGGAAATCTGACAATATGTACGAACTCAGTCACACAAGATAGATGCCAGCTTTATTCACTGAATGCTTATTTTATGTGCCAGGTATTGTTCTCTGTGCTTCATTTAATAAGAGGAAATAGGTAGCAGATAATGTCTTTCAACAGAGGAGAAGAAAGCTAGGGAAGTAGACCTGAATCCAGGCACCCTTGCTCCTGAGCGAGACTGCCCTGCTCATCCTCTGCCCGAAGGGGCTCACTTGGGCCTGACCAACTGTAGACAAGTGTGGAGTGTGCCAAGGGGCAGCCAGTGGGTGGCCCACACCAATAAATGAGTCAAATTCTTTCTCAGCCATCCTGAACCTTACTTACAACGTTTGGACGCTCTCTAATTTAGTCCTGGAGGGCAAAGCCCCAGTCATGCACAATGTGGGTGACTCAGGTGCTTGTCAGACACTGTACCATGAACCCTGCTCTGCTGTCCTGTAAACAATCCCTGGGCAGGACCCACACATACCACCACCCCACTGGACACCTGCGGGGCTCCCAGTCTTAACTGCCCATGACACAGAGGCCTGGACAGAGGGATTGCCATGGGTCCACACAAAGTCAACTTGACCAGTGTCACTGCCAGAACTCAGAATGGGGAATTTCCTGGGGTAATTCAGCTTCGAGGTTTGAATAAGTTACATGAAGTCTGGGAATGCAGGTCAGTGGATAGAGTGCATGCTTAGCATTCTCAAGGCCCTGGGCTCATTCCCCAGTGCACACACACACATACACACCCACACACCCCTCACATGGAAACCCATGCAGATGCTCTGCAGGTCCTAACTGTAATCCAGATTGTGTTCCACTCTGTTTCCAGACTCTGAAGAGCAGTCAGCCAGCTCCCTCTGTAAAAATGCACTCAGTCAATAAAAGAATACCTAAATAGCATGTCTTCATAAAGTCTGTGGCACACAAAGACTCTGCATGTTAGAATGTTCCATAAAAGACTAAGAGTCAACTGTATATGCATTTTAATAGCAAACATGCTGACAGAACCAGAAATAAAACATCGGAATGTCTCTGAGTAGCCACCGAGTATACGTCTCATTTTATTCTTCTGTTTGCCAATTTCCCAATACTAGGCATGCATAATATACAAATAACAGTTAAAACTACTTCTTAAAAAATTCTTATCAGTAATGATCACTTGATTTCTTCATTCTGCAACAATTCTATGGGTTTTATTACGAGGGAATTGTCAAGAATCAAGACACTCACAGATTAGCTGAAAGAAAAGAGAATAATAAAATGCACTTATCATGTAAGGGTATACAGTTCTACCCACTATTTTTTTTTTCTTTAACACAACTAC